TTTCCTCTTCGGTGGACACATCGACGTCGATGAGTGAGCAGTGGTAAAGTCCATTTGAAGAGCGTCCCGTGTCTCTCCCAACTGAAGGGGAGGTAACCTCACGAGACGTGCTGCGATCCTGAGCAATTAGTTCCGAAATACCCCACCAGCATCTGACCAATCTGCTGAAGGTGATGAGGCAGATGACGCCAGAGGAGCTGTACAGCTTGCCCTTGGACGCACGAACACTTCTCGATGGAGCAGGCGATCTGCCACCGGTAACGGTATTGGGCGGCGGTGAGTACGTTCACATAGGACTTGTAAAACAGTTGACTGAGCAGTTACGTGCTATATATATATATAGCATCACCGACAGAATGACCGCTTTGAACATCTTGAGGTTGGTGCTGGGGTGGAGACCGTAACGATTCCAGACGGTGTTCGCCCATTCCTGGTTGAATAAATATCCAATCTGCAGATAAAGATAATAACAGGTGGCGGCGCACTGATGAACTTCGGTCAGATGTAGTGCTTATAACCCATGTTTCTGTTTCCGTCTTCAGATGGTGGTCATGGATAGGAGTGGCTCCAAGAAGGCAGAAGAAGCATAGAACATTACTGTATCGATCTATCTGCATCCTCTATCGCGCATCCGTCCACCCAATATCTGCATAAATCGCCGCTACGCCGCTACAAGAGATTTTAATGCTCCTGCTGAACATTCTTCATGAGGAATGTTGGAGCGCAGGAGAGTTCTGCAGAAATTCAAAAATGGGCCATTGACAAACGCTAATAGGAAACAGAAACTCAAAAATTCGCCCTTTGGTGCTAAACAATGTAACTACTAATATACACCTTATTAGCAAAATTATTATTGTACACGAAAGATTGAGGGAAGGTTTCGATGAGCTGCCCCCAAAGTGCTGCAGTGGTGGTACATGACTTGTGATGAAGTTGGTGGCACTAGTCGTGGATGATTTAAGTATGGTGGCGAGAAACATTGTGAGTGGTTTGTCGTCCGCATTGTAGTTATCAGCGTGTGATTGCTAGTAGTGTAATTGGAAATAGCCTGACGCGCCGTGATAGCTCAGTCGGGAGAGCGTTAGACTGAAGATCTAAATGTCCCCGGTTCGATCCCGGGTCGCGGCAGTCGCCTTTTCGTATCGCATACTGATGGTTCGTGGATTGGCGCACACGGCCTTACATACCGGGTGAGAGGTTAGGAGCGAATGACTATCACGTCTGGTTATTTAGCTAGTGCCTGTGCTGTTAGTATGGACACATACGACGGTCCTCAACATTTGCATGAATAATAAGTTTCATCAGGAGCCACGCGTATTTAGTCTCGTCAGGGCAACAATCTGGAAGGCATGGGTGGCAACTTGTGATAATGCGTCGCCTCGTCGCACAGCGATCCGAGCACGCGTCCAGTCTGGCCTGTGTAGTTGCAAGGACAATTCTGACACGGGATGCGATAAACCACTCCAGATTGCTCTTCAGACTTTAACCGGTCTTTGATTTTCGTGACCCTCCTGCGCATGGTGGCTTTGGGGCGGCGCAGTAATTGCTGCACATTAATGCGCTCGGTTGCTTCTGAGACGTCCTCAATGCAATATCGTCGGTGGTGTTGTTGCAACATGTTTGAGAGCTCTTGAGACAAACGCATAGGTAGCGACTTGTGAATGCCATTGGATAACCATTTTGCACAAACTGGTCGCGGAGATAAGTGTCATCGAGAGGTACATACCTACTTTCCCTGAAATATACTGATACTGAATCCGGAGCCGGCAACCAGTCCAGGATTTCAGGTCGTTGGGTTCAAAAGCCTGCTCCGCGACCGGGAATTGAACCCCGGTCTTCCACGTGACAGGCGGAGATACTCACCACTATACTATCGCGGAGACAAATGCTCATTTTGAATCTTTTTACAAAGCTAACTGCTCTAGTCACCGGGGTATGTTTGCTTGATATCAGTTTTTCAGGATTTCAATATCGAGTGTATGTCGGACATGACTTCGGAATTCATATCAACGCGGTATCAGATTTTCGTGATACTGGAGATGTGGCAAAAGCGGCACGTACACCTTTACGTACGATATTCTTTGCGCGATACCCACAAAGTCCTACACGTCCACTCTGTAGATACAGACGTAGGCGGACGTCGCGTTGCAGACACTGTAATTCGCTTAATCTATGCACTGCATGCTGGAGTGGTTGGAAAGCCCTAATAGCAAGCGAGCTCGCCGCGAGCCAGCGTACTCTGGGGGGGGGTAGTGGGTCTTTAGCCTGCTCGCGATGTGATTGGTTCCCGGGTCGGCTGCGCCGGCGTCGCGAAGGGCGCAAGCGGCCGCGCGTACTTGCACTTGATTATCGATTAGCTTCGGTGCCCGATAGTCCTCCCGCTCTCGCCGGTGCCACTTTTTGCTCTCCCACGCTGCACTGCGCACGCCGTGTCTCGCTCTACGCTGACATTGCCTACCCTAACTGTCTTTGTCTTTGTGTTACCTTGTCTCTCCTTTTATTCACAGTTATGTTTACTCCTGTTACTAGGCGTAAAATACGGCGTCCAGCACGCCCGGGAAACTGAAGAAATAATAAGAAGAATCAGCGAAGAGGTGGGGGGAATGCCGTCGTCGGACACATCATCCGATAGTTGGTCTGAAAGCGACACGGACGAGTCTATGTCTTCAACTTCGCTGGCGAACGAACGCTCTTCTTCCTTGGAGCGTTCACCCTTTTTTCAGAGGATGTGGCCGAGTTTCCTTAAAAAACCTAGGTTTCCAAAGGAAACACTTGAGTCTATCAAGGTAACTTGCAAAGGGGAAGGAGGAAAAACTGTCGAGCGGACCCTGTCGCGAACTATCGTGCGCCAAGCTAGCAATGCTCACACGGGGGTTATTGGCGGAAGTCTGGGGCTTCAGAGCGCCAGATTAAGTTCCGATACAGCAGTGTATAGGAAAATCAACATCACAAGGAGGCGGGGCATAAAAAGCAAAATCTGGTGCCGCCTGTGCATTTTCACAGCGAAGGCGCCAGAAGGGACCACACAAATGAACTTCCCCGCCATATCCCGGCGGGACATTCCCTCAGACCCCGTCGTAGTCTCATTATAGCTACCTCATTAGGCGAGGCTTAGAGGTAGAAAGCGGAGAATCAAACATCAGTGATACAGGTCTGGAGGCGACTGCGAAGACTCTGTGGACCGGCGCCAGATGGATCCATCGATTGACTGCGTCCTCATCCGAGGCTCAGGCCTCTACCAGTTCGGTGTTTTTATTGCTTCTGGCGTGGGCGCTTATACTGATGGCTACGAAGTTAAACTCGTTGCCTTTATCGGAGGTGTGGGCAGCCACTTAAAGTTATCCGTCGCCCCATCGAGCAAGCAGCTCATGTCCTTATATGTAAGATCCGGGCATGCGTTCAGTCTTACCTATTCAATTACAATGACAGTTGAATCGCGGGATACTCCATAATGCAGCCGACCGCCCGCTGGGTCTCAATCGGAACTTAAGGCGCTCGTTACGCGAAGTCTCAAAGACGAAACGGAAACAAAATTTGCAGGAAGGAGATGAACGCTAAATATCCTCCTTTCACACCTAACATTCAATGGTTCTCGAACGAAGCTGTGTGAGAGCACCAGTTGAATGGATGCGGGCTCATTCGAACAACCAGGAAAAAATACACGAGGTTCGATCTCCCTGCAACCAGTTTATGCGTAAAGGATATCCGAAGACGTTCGCAAGCCAATGTCTACATGTACGTTCCGGAGGATCCAAACGGAGCCACCAGGGAGGATCCGTCAAAGATGTATCGAAGGCGACAAAACGCACATCACCCGCACTAGCTTCCCATAACTCCGCGAAGTGTCTTCCTGCCTGCTTTTTTTCTGAACAAAATTCCCATTTTCACGGCAAATCTCGTCTATATACCTTCTTATTCGGCGTCCATAGGACAGTTCGACCATCGGTTTCGATGATGTCCACCGTGTGCCCCACAGTTGCAGCAGCAATGGGAGCAGGGACGGTGACTTACGCAGGGGTTCATAATGCCGGCATCTACCTACACTCTCTCCTCCTCCCTCGCCCGAGCCCGGTGTCAAGACAGAGTCAAGAAGACCGGAGACGAGAGAGGCCGCAGGTGGATGGCTCGGACGGATCCTCACCTTGGCGTTCCACCACACCCCCTGGTCCACACAACAATAACCAGGATTTCAACCAACACAACAGAGATTTGGAGGCTGGCACGGCCGAAGTCGCACCTGGGCGTGCCGCCAACGCCTGGCTCGGATCCCACACTGTGATGGGAGTGCCATAAAGGCCACATTAAAAAGCAGCCATTGCAGCCTGACTCTCAGACCGCCTCCAGTCAAGGAGGAGGTCCAAGTTACCCCGTCAGTTGGCAACCTTTCAGGCCACGGCTTTTAGCGCATCGTGATAGCTTCAAGCGCGTCAGATTGTTTATAGTGAGGAGAAAGTGCGCTGAGTCATCGACCTCACTCTCCCTTCCCACTCCCACACCCCAGTCGCTGTCCGAGCCGGTCAGCAGACTGGAGTGGGAGGTGGACGCGGTGGCTGTCATGGTCGACTGACCATGACTGCGCGCGCCACGGCACGACCTGGCCCCCCATACACACAACACCAGGATTTCACACAACGGGGGTAGAACGGCGTGTCTCTCACTTGCGTGAGAGTGCCGTGGAAGGTGCTGTTTCAGCCCTTTCTCAGCCCACCACTCCGCCACTTCACACAACACACACACACACACAACGTGACGAACTGCGTGAACCGAGAGCGGGCGTCAATCAACAACCTTCCTATCCACGACGCTTGACGTGTCGGGATAGTCTCGGACTCAAGTCACCCGTATAGCCGAAGCCGCATGGGGACCGAGTCGAGATGCGGACTTCCCACTTGCGTGGAAGGTGGCAGTTGGGTGCATGAGGTGTGTGAGTGTTGATTTCTGGTGGGGTGATGGTGGAGGAGGTAGGGAGTGAGTGAATGTGTGGTGTGACCGGCGGTTGTCTACTGCAGGTCGTCGTGGATGCGCATGTGGCCGAATAGACCCATGCGATGCATGAAGGTGCGAGGGCAGTGTGGGCAGTGGAGGCGAGTGCGGAGGGTGTAGGTTGGTGCTTCAGGCACTGGTTCGACAGTCTCTGTGCGATGGATTCTCAAGTGACCGACCAGGCCGATGTGTGAGGTGAAGGTGCGGTCGCAGTGAGGGCAGGTGTAGTCCTGATCCTCATCGCTGGAGTCGGGGGAGGTGGTGGTAGTGTCGGTTGTTGCGCGCGGGACAGTCGCTTGAGCGCTCGTCGTTGGAGCAGTGGACAAGGAGGAAGAGGAGGATGGAAGTGGTGGGTCAGAAGAATTGTCAGAGTTAGTTGGCGGCGGAGAGGAGGAGGAAGAGGCGGGCGGAGGGACGATGGTTGGTGCAGTTCGAGAGGCGCAGTTAATCCGAAGATGTCCAGCAAGTCTGATTCGAGCCCGGAATGTCCGTTGACATCGAGAACACGTTGGAAGAGGTTGTGCGGCGGCGTTGCGTACTGGGCGAAGTTGTGATTTGCGGGCTTCGCGTTTCGCTTTGGCGGCAGCGATGCGGTTGGCTTCGTAGATCGCTGCGCCTGTCTTCACTGTTCTCCTCCAGGTCGGTCGATCGAGTTGGTCGTGTTGATTTGCAGGCGCTTGAGGGAGGACTTCAGGGTATCCTTGTAACGGAGAGTCTGGCCTCCTTGACGACGAGAACCCGTCGCGACTTCTCCGTAGAAGAGTCGTTTGGGTAGTCGTTCGTCGTACATGCGCAGCAGGTGGCCGCTCCAGCGCAGCTGAATTTGCCTCAGTATGGCGTAGATGCTGAGGATTCCCGTCCGTTCCAGCACATCAGTGTCGGGGATTCGATCCTGCCAGTTCAACCTCAGGATGCGACGAAGACAACTGAGGTGGAAGTGGTTCAGACGGCGTGCCTGCTTTGCGTACACTGTCCAAGTCTCCGCTCCATACAGTAGTGTTGGCATGATGACGGCCTTGTAAATCTTTAGCTTCATGCTCAGTTGAAGACCGTGGCGATTCCAAACTGTGCTTTGGAGGCGACCGAAGGCTTGACTGGCTTTTGAGATCCTGTTGGCGACTTCCTCGTTGATCTTGGTGTTGCGGGAGAGTGTACTGCCCAGGTACGGGAAGTTCTCCACCACTTGCAGTTGGGTTCCGTTCACGCTGATTTGCGGCGGCGCGTTGGGGGCTGTGGCTGAGTTGGGTGGCTGTTGGTGCATCAGCACCGTCTTCTGCGTGTTAATGACCAGACCGAAGTTCTCGCAGGCGGCGGAGTGGCGGGAGGTCGAGGTCCACGTTGGTCTCCACTTGCGGCAAACGCTCGATGGCGGCGTCGGAGATGACGGTGGGACGGTTGAGGACGCCTCGGAAATGCTCGGCCCACCGCTGTATGATTTGCGTCTTCTCAGTCAGGAGAGTGCTACCGTCGGCGCTGAGGAGAGGGGCAGTGCCCTTCGTCGGCGGACAGTAGACAGCTTTGATCGCAGAGAAGAAGTTCTTCCATTCGTTGCGGTCCGCGTACCCTTGGATCTCCTCAGCTTCGCGAGCAGTCCAGGCGTCCTGCATCTCGCGTAGTCGTTGTTGAACGCGGCGACGAATACGGTAGAAGGCAGCTTTGGTGGCATCAGTGGGGTGATCTACGTAGGCTTTGTGGAGGCGGTTCTTCTCAGCAAGCAGATTTCTGATGGCGGCGTCGTTGTCGTCGAACCAGTCCTGGTGTTGGCGGGGAGCGCAACCGAGGACGGCGAGCGCCGTCGACTGGACCGTGTCTCGCAGTTGACACCAGCGGTTCTCCACGGGGGCGTTCTCGGCAGCGGCGGCGTCGGCAGCGATAGGAAAGTCGTCTAGCCTTTGAGCTAGCTCATTGCTGAAATGAATATGGTGAGCGGGCAAAGACAACAAGGCAACATTCAGCTTACCTGGGGGTCGAATACCTTGTGCTTTCCTTCGAGGCTGTAGGCGAATATGCATCTTCGAGATGACGAGGCAATGGTCGGTCCACCCGTCAGCGCCGCGATTGCCTTTGTCACCAGCACGTCCCACTGATCTCGCCTCCGGTCGAGGACATAGTCCAGCAGGTGCCACTGGCGCTACCGAGGATGCCTCCAGCTGGCCTTCTCTCGCTCCGGCAGACAGAAGAAGGTGTTTGTCAGGATGAGGCGGTGTTCTGCGCAGGTGCGGAGAAGCAGCAGATCATTGTCGTTTGAGCCGCGGAGACCGTGGGGACCCAGGACTCCTCTACAGGCAGTATGATCTGTGCCGACGCGGGCGTTGAAGTCACCAAGGACAATCCACTTGTCCGCCTTCAACACAGTCGCCAAGAGGGCATGCAGGTCCTCGTAGAATTTGTCTCTGACGGCGTCGGGGTTGGTCATCGTCGGAGCGTAGGCGCTGATGATGATGGCGAATTTGCCTCCTCGTCGGAGAGGCAGGCGGAGGCTCATCAGGCGATCGTTGATGCCCTGCGGCGAACAGGGCAGACGTCCCCCGATGTCGTTCCGAATGGCGAAGGCGACACCCGCGTCCCGTCGCTCTGCCCTGGGTCGACCGCTCCAGAAGAAGTTGTAGCCGGCACACACCTCCTCCAGTTGGCCTTGTTCGGAGAATCGGGTTTGGCTGAGTGCGGCGATGTCTACCTTGTAGCGCGCCAGTTCCCGTGACACTAGCGCCGTCCTTCGTTCCGGTCGGTTGCTTCTTCGATTGTCTAAAAGGGAACGAACATTCAAGGCTGCCAGAGTGAGTGGACTCACCCTGCCAGTCTGGTGACAACGAGTGGGGCGACGGGAGGGAGATGGAGAAGAAGGTGACGAAGAAGAAGAAGAATAGGCAGAGGAAGAGGATGAAGAGGTAGGATGAGGAGAATGAGTATGTTTGTTGTTGTTGTTATAGGTATTGTTGTTGTTTCGATTTTGATTGTTTCGACCATGATTAGACGTCTGCGACCCTGGCTAGCCTGGAGACGGCGTGGTGCCCAACAATGTTTAGGCCACCTTTTCTAGGCCCTTCCCCTCGTGGGGGCTGGCAGTGCCATCCCTGAATAGGTCTGCCATATGCCGTTGTGGCACGGCCGAACTCCACTATGGGGCCACGACTTCGGGTTGTATTGGAGAGCGACTCGAATTCGCCGTAAGCCGCGGTCTCTGACGGCGTAGGTGGGAGCGTCAATGCGATGTCGATGTGGAGATCCATCCCGTCACCGGCTGTCCAGCGGCGTGCAGAGACGAACCCTGTCACGACGGTGCCGACGCAAGGTTCCAGCCGACCTTCCATCCAGCGGAATCCGCAAACCCTGTGCACACGGCACAGCGCACAGGGCCCCCTCACCTGGTTTAGCCCGCCGGTCGAGACGGTTGTCCGGGGTGTGGCCGCTGAGCAGAGCCCAGCTACGTGGAGCCACAGGTGAGATTTGAGTGCCAGCAAGTGAACGCTAGGCGTAGTCTCACCTGCAAGCAAGTGAGCGACCACCACGACCATCACGTGAACCCACCGCTGACACCCCCTACACCCCCGGCGTCCATATATACATTCTGGCTCACGCATAAAATCGGTTAATAACGGTAAGGCAACTGTATACAAATATAAATTTATGACTGAAGTATGTCGTAAAGCTATCGCGCACCGCGTTCTACGATTTGGTCGCGGAAAACCGGCTTGTGGACACGCTCATAATTTCACAATGCGAATAAAGAACGCCAACTAATGAGTGGTCAGTGTATATACGCAGGGTACTCAATGGCCCCTCGAGAGTTGATATCTCGAAAAGTTGCTGTTTTGGTTCACCGGCTCGACATCAATTGCTGTTAAGTTAACTGACTGTCCACGGCTTTTAGTCCGACAAAATTGGTTGTGAAAAGAACTTCTTACAGTCGACACATGCTGACCGCGCCCAAAGTGTTCTCACATCTTGACATCACAACGAACTACTGAAGACTCAGGTTTAAGGTGTCTGCAGCCAGGAACACATGATATCCGTTTTCTTTAGGCGTATCGGTGTGCTGTTAGTCCAGATCAGTTCAGTTCAGTTAACTTGAGGGAAACTAAGGTCCGCTTTTTTTGTGAACGGTATACTTTCTTGAAAAAAGTACTCTTGAGCTTTTGGATGCTCTATATGGATTGTAAAGGCGTGGAGTGAGGCGTAATAAGGGAAATGGATTGAAGGCAATCACGATAGGTCGATGAAGAAGTTAGAACCGAAGAAAAATGAAGAGTTCGATATTTAAATGCTCACGTTGGATTCAGAACATAGTTTCCTCACGCCTCGTGAATGTGAAATCCTAAAACCAACAAATAGGACACTAAATGACTCCATAGTCTCCTTTGACAAAGAGAAATTTTGCATGTCCAGGTGGGCCTGAGGAAATTGAAGCCGCGATGAGTGACTTCCAGGGATGGCTGTAGTGACAAATTCGAAGCAATCGCAAAAGGCCAGGCTACACACTACACTGCCCATAAAGCGGAATGCTTGTAATGGACCTCAGTGTTGTCGGCCGTAACTCAAAGGAGAACCTTTGATTTAAAAATAAGAGCAAAAATGGCGACTTCGAGGACACTGTTCCGAAAGAAAAGATGCAATCGCTAGTAAAAAATGCCTACTGTTAGGTATTTTCGGAAGGCGAAGGATGCTTCGTAAGCCATCGGTCGATTTCTTACACCATTAGGAGTAGGAGTTGCACAGACCAGAATCATCCATAAGGCATCAAAAATTAAGGCTAAATACCAATTGCAACCGCCAGAAATGTCTGCAAACATGCAGCGCAACCGATGTATTTGCGAAAATAGTTACAACGCCCAAAGATTAGGGATTATTCCATATGCGAATTGTCGAACACGCGCCAGCAGTGAGGGGAATTACGCCAGCTCCCAGATCACGACACACTCGACGGGGCCCGGTCACACCTTTAAGTATGACAAGGCTGAAATTCCCGCAAGAGGTGACAGCAGCGTAAACTGTGAGTTGTTCGAGTCATGGTTTTCCTGTCATCTGCAGATTAACAAGCGTCATGACCGCTCGCCTCCAATATTTTTCGCAGTGCAGACATTGGTGAAGCGGGTAGGGTGCGAGCGACCAACGATTCCACCTACATGAAGCCTAACCGCCGAATAATCACCACGCCAGAAATAAAAAACGGCGATGCAGCTCCGGAAATACGGGACTCGGATGCGAACTAACAGTCAATCATCGCATCGGACGCGACCTACTGCAATTTATCCGGTAGAAAATTATAACAACAAGCATGCAGTTGTACGGTAGTTGCGTCCATAAATATCGTTTTCCTTGTGCCTCGGTGTCCCTTATCTGCGAGTGTTTCTGGTGATTAGTTCAAGCGATAACCCAAAACATCTGGTCAGTGAACTTCTTCATTCATTGTTCATGTTTTCTTCTTCTGAATCTTCAAACATTCTGTGATGATTGCATAGAGCAGCCAAGCGTTTACTTTCGTCAGTTTGACATGATTTCTTTAGTTTTCTTATACACATTTGTTTCTACAGACTGGAGTGGACGCTTATGATTTCTTAGCCGTCGTTGGCCAGCCATACCCAACCCCATGGTATGCGACCCGCGGGGCGGGGACACGCGCCATTGTGCGGCCGCTGGTTGGGCTCGAGAGAGCTCCTAGGGCATAACAAAACGAACAGGCTTCGTAGGGCGATTGGTGCGCGCCCTTCTACCTTCGTCCAAGATCTCGAGGCTTAAGTTACACACTTCACCTGTGGAAATCATGTAAAGAAAATTAGCCGACATAGAAAAGCGCCCTCTTGGTAACAGGAAGCCGAAACAGTTACAGAGTTAGCTTCCTCCTCTCTACAGCGGTTGTTTTATTATCATGAACGCCGTCTAGGACAACATCCAAGAAAATTCCCCATTAATTTTGTCCAAATGAGTCTGAATTGCACAACGGCATTTTCTGTTATTTTCGTTTATGTTCACAATCGTACGCGTTTTACTTAACCTTCTCAAACGAACATGGTCTGTTTCACGGATAATATGTTGAAAGGCTCGTGCAGACTTCCATCGCCGTAGAACGATCTGGACCAGCCTAGAAGATTTTGCACGATCATTGTTGTGAAAAGCACGTCTGTAGAGAGAGAGAGAGAGAGAGAGAGAGAGAGAGAGAGAGAGAGAGAGAGAGAGAGAGAGAGAGAGAGAGAGAGAGAGAGAGAGAGGAGTAGGCTTAATTGTGAGATTAGAGATTCAAACTTTTCAACAAAGAAGGCTCCATTCACTGTGGACATAAAATAAGTTGATAAACTTCTCAAGAGTCAAAAAAGTTTTACACAAATTGTAACGACTACTATGGTGACAGTTCGAGTCTTAAATTCTATATTTCTGTTTCTTCACACGTAAGATAACGCGTGGGGAATGGCAATACTAAATGTTACCATGCGGATGTGCGACAAGAGATAAGTCGAAAGCCATGGCGCATGGGCGGGAGGACTTCGCAGACATTGGTTCAGAAAGCAGGGGATAGGCAACGTCATCCAGAACGCGACCAGAAAATTGCTTGATTGTTTTAAAATGTCATTGTAGGATAATATCGACTAAAAAGAGGCAAGAAACACCCGCAGCCGAAGAGAGCATTCGGAAAAATGCAGGAAATTTATGAGGGAGCAATAAAAAATGAGGCTGGGAATGTAAGCATCAATGGATCACCAGATTAAGGATTGAGGTGTGTGACAGGGACGTTAAGGACGAATGTAATACAGAAGTTTACGAATTTTAGTGAAAAGGGACCGTCTATGGAGGGAAAATGAAAGATGTGATGAAAAATTAACACCAAAGCATCTGAAAGAGGATACCTCGTCGGGAATGACGTCAAAGGATCCAGGACTAGGAGAGGACCATAGTCGGGAAATACAATGAACTGACTTTTGATTGTTCATTCGCAGACCATTTTCCTGCGACCATGCTGAGACATGGTCAAAGGTATCCTTCAGAGATTGGAGATGTGTCCGATTTTTGACAGGGTGTCCAACAACCACATCATCAGCATAGTTAACCAGCAGACAGTCGTTTGGAGATCTTACATCATCGGTGTAGAAGGAGAAGACGTGAGAGGATTAAGTATAACCTTAAAGAACCCCACAATTATTGAGAAGGACCGTAGATTTCCGCTTGCCAGATCAGACAAATTGAGTGCGAAAAGTAAAATAATCGGCAAGCCCAGAGATAACCCAGTCTGGAGAGCCTAGATTCAGAAACCTTAGCAATGCGTAAGGGGAGGATGTTTCAGAAGAATTAGGTGCGAACGCAAGAATTAAACTGTCTGGTAGTCAGTAGCCCACTGGTACACAAGCAAGGGCATGGGCTATGAGCGCGAGGTTGAAACGTACGTTCTTGATCGTTATTAATGAATTTATGGAGTTTCGTCACATTATCTCTCTCTTTTTGTGTGTTTTTTTGCCAGTCAGTTGTCGCGAAGAGTATCTCCGCATAACCCAGCACTTGTCCGGCTTTTTGATTATGTCTGGTAGTTTCGCGAAATTCCACTGTGTAAATTATAAGGCGTCCGTTTTACCCCAGTCGTTTAAATAACATTAACTTGTACTTAATCGTTAGATACCACCTAGATGCCGTCATAGAGCGGTGGGTTCAGAGAACTTTTATAGGTTCCGCGCGAAATCCTCGGCATTCTTAGTTTGATAATCGGGTGAAAACTGCCCTTATAGAACGGTTTTCATACGTGATGCGAAAGATTCTAACGAACAGGTTCATGCATGTCTATTTAAGGGAGCGGCAGATGCCATGGTACTGACCGCCATCTGGCCACCGAACGTGCTGTAATCTTGTTGACTTCATTTGACGTGGCGCCTATTGTAATAGACTTCCTAAAATCGTTAATGATACATACTTCAAACTTCATGGTTTATCTGTCACATGGGAGGTCTGTCTATTGGATGTCCTAAAAACTGCAAGGTCAACCCAAC